TCACCAAAACTACTTTTCCCGTAAAGTTTCGTGAATTTATCACATCTTTATAGTCTTTGATATCAAAATCCGCACAAACTATTGAAATCAATGCCAATAACACTATTAATTTCATTTTTAAAATGAATGAATTACAGTAATAAACTCAGCTATATTATTTTCAGAGCTTTTAATACTTAAACATGAAATTGTTAAATACTCCCTTATATACCAAATGTTATGAACTGGTGCATTTTTAGTGTAGATAACCTTCACATTTAAATTAATTTAAAGTGTAGTAATAATCTATTATCCGATACTATTACTTTATAACTTGTATAAATAATCAATATTTACCTTGAAATGAAAATACCGATAAAAGTATCCTACATTGTGATAGTATATTGGTTAATACGAAAATAAATGATTTTAAGACAATTCTTGTATTTTTATTGACATATGAAATAAATCTCAACATTTTTATGAATTGATATTAATTGAATGAGTTTTTAAATTTATTTAATTTGTAATATTAATTGTCTCCTATATGTGATTGAATTTAATCAGCAATCAATTTAATAAATTAAGGGAAAGCAATACCATTTTTATTTATAAAAAGTTTAATAGATGGATAAACAATTGAATTATTTTTATTTTTATTGTGACATAAAATAAATAGTGTTAAGAAATATAAAAATATAAGCCATGATCCTTTTTATCGACTTGATATTAGTCTCAATGAATTTTTTAATACAGTACTTATTACATTAGATAACTAATAAAAGATATCCTACTGCACTATTTGTGCCACATGTTTGCATTCATTATAAGCAATGTAGTTTGTAATCTTATTAATCTTGTACATTAGTTAAAATAAAAATATTTTTATAAATTTAATTTTATAAAATTGCTTTTATAATATAAATGTTTAATCAAAAAAAATTGAAAATTAATACTACTACTACTTAAAATAGTATGCTAATATATTGATTAATCGGTAATTTAAACATTTATTGCATATATGATGGATCGAGATTGTTCAATGAGGAATCATCATTTAAATTATAGGAATATTTTTTATTTTAAAATATTACATGACAATTACAAATTATTATTAATATTACTATTTAAATATAATAATATTAGAACTATAATAAATTTCAATAATTTAAATCAAAATAAATGTTCCCATAACATATAGATTTAGAAATTATTAAAGCGGTTTTAATAATGAATTTTGAATGAGTTTAACAGTTAAACTTTAACTTATTAACGAATAATTAATTTTTAAATAAATTACTAGCTTTATTAAAATATACTGTACTCAGTATATAGAATATTTTAATTAATTAGATTTATAGTATTTTAAATATTAAGAGCTCCCATATTATAGACAACTCCGCCGTCGACCACCAGATTAGCGCCGGTTATGAATGAGGCATCACTTGAGGCCAGGAATACCACCCCTTTGGCGATATCTAATGGTTGTCCCACACGTCTCAATGGTGTTATTTTCTTTATCAAGTCATATAAAGGATCCACCTTATCTGTCGTTTGTGTAGTTCCCGGGCTATTAATAAATAAATAATAATAATAATAATAAATTAAACAAAAATAATTATATAAATAATTACTTCACTGCATTCACACGAATGCCTTTCGGTCCCAATTCGAGGGCCAGTACTCGAGTCAACATATCTAAGGCGGCTTTTGCCGGTCCATAAGCAAGGTTTAGGGCATACTATTGTAAAATAATTTTAATGATTATTATTATTATAAATAACATAAATAAGTAACAATTATACCGGAGCAATGGCACCGACACTCGAGATATCAATGATAGTGCCGTTAGTTTTTTCCAAATGTGGAACCGATTCGTGGATCAGTTCGACGACTGCTCTCAAGTCTATGGCGAAGACCTGATCCCAGGCTTGCATTAAATCTGTTTGAGTGATGTTTATGGACTTCATTATGCCGGCGTTGTTCACCAATACATCTAACTTTCCAAAGGTTTTGATAGTATTTGCGATCAAAGTGTTGATGACTTCAGTTTTGGTGAGATCTCCGACCACTTCTAATGGCTGTTCAGTATAAATGAAATTAATATTATATTACATTCAAATTAATTACAGGTTTTAAGTTTACAAACCTTTAGTTTCTTTGGCGACAATTCCTGTACTTCTTTGGCGACTCTCTGGACATCCGCTTCTTTCCTACCGGTGACCACAACATTGGCCCCTAATATAGAGAACAGTTTTGTGATCCCCTCTCCGATTCCAGAACTACTTCCGGTCACCAAAACTACTTTTCCCGTAAATTTAATGATTATTATTATTATAAATAACATAAATAAGTAACAATTATACCGGAGCAATGGCACCGACACTCGAGATATCAATGATAGTGCCGTTAGTTTTCTCCAAATGTGGAACCGATTCGTGGATTAATTCCACGATTGCTCGCAAATCAGTGTTGAAGACCTGATCCCAGGCTTGCATTAAATCTTTTTGAGTGATGTTTGTCGTCGTAAATATGCCGGCGTTATTCACCAATACATCTAACTTTCCAAATGTTTTGATAGTATTTGCGATCAAAGTAGCAATAAATTCAGTTTTGGTGAGATCTCCGACCACTTCTAATGGCTGTTCAGTATAAATGAAATTAATATTATATTACATTCAAATTAATTACAGATTTAAGTTTACAAACTTTTAGTTTCTTTGGCGACAATTCCTGTACTTCTTTGGCAACTCTCTGGACATCCGCTTCTTTCCTACCGGTGACCACAACATTGGCCCCTAATATAGAGAACAGTTTTGTGATCCCCTCTCCGATTCCAGAACTACTTCCGGTCACCAAAACTACTTTTCCCGTAAAACTTTTCCCGTAAAGTTTCGTGAATTTATCACATCTTTATAGTCTTTGATATCAAAATCCGCACAAACTATTGAAATCAACGCCAATAATACTAATAATTTCATTATAGTAAAATTTTAGTAAAACATTAATATATGACAGTAAGAACAGTATTACGATTAAGTGAAATATTAATAATTTCTAAATTTTGGATATTCTTTATATACAAGAATTGTCCAAACAGTGCAATAGGACTTGTTATCGGATTATGTTTATTATCTCATATTATTGTTATTTAATTGGTAAACTCAACCGATTAATTAAGTGCAATGTAACGTACTTTTGGATAAAAAGTTGAACAATTCGATTAGCATGGTTCAACAGTCAATTTGATGTTTAACGGCAATTATAATTTATAATTTTAATTGCAATTGAAATTATTTTGAATATTTCATTGCAATATCATAGGAAATAATTAATATCAATTTATGCAATAAGTTATAAAACAATGTTTAATAAGATCATAAAAACCTCTGAAGTGGTTTATACTAAATATAAATTGATCTCCCTGAGTACCCTGGCACTTCTGATTGAAAGTTATTATCAGAAAGCAATACAATAATATTTCAAAACTACATTATGGGGAGATATACTATGGATCAGGCTACTAGGGCACAAGTAGATAATACAAATTGATATCAAGGCATACTTTACCCTACTCTACCCTAAACTAACATATGTGTAGGCATATTTAGTATAAACCACTTCAGTGGTTTTTATGATCTTATTAAACATTGTTTTATAACTTATTGCATAAATTGATATTAATTATTTTCTATGATATTGCAATGAAATATTCAAAATAATTTCAATTGCAATTAAAATTATAAATTATAATTGCCGTTAAACATCAATTATTAACCCCATCAACTTAATATTGCTTCATTTTAACCCCATATCTCCAGGTCTGATTGAATGTACGGCACTAATATGAGATGATATGATATCAACTAGATAATTAGTCCACAACTTAAAGGTTATCTACACTGAAGATGAACTAATAATGAAATCTGACATCTTATCGGATTACGTTTATTATTTCATATTAGTGTTGCAATTTAATTGGTATATTCAAACAATTAATTAAGTGTAACATAACGTACATTGGTCAAAGTTTGAACAGTCTGGTTAATAAGGTTTGAGTGATTAGTGATTAATAAATACAAGAAAAAATTTATTACAAATTAAATAAATTTAAAAACTCATGAAATTCATTCAAATATCAATAAATACAAATGTTGAGTTTTATTTCATATGTCAATAAAAAAATACAAGAATTGTCTTAAAATCATTAACCAATATCACATTTTACTATACTTTTATCGGTATTTTCATTTCAAGGTAAATATTGATTATTTTTACAAGTTATAAAATAATAGTATCGGATAATAGATTACTACTATATTCAACTAAAAATGCACCAGTTCATAAAATTTTGTATATAAGGAAGTACTATATTTGACAATTTTAAGTATTGAAAGCTCTGAAAATAATATATAACTGAGTTTATTACTGTAATTCATTCGTTTTCAAAATGAAAATAATAGTATTATTGGCATTGATTTCAATAGTTTGTGCGGATTTTGATATCAAAGACTATCTCGATGTGATCAATTCACGAAACTTTACGGGAAAAGTAGTTTTGGTGACCGGAAGTAGTTCTGGAATCGGAGAG